AGTCTCAAAAATAATTATTTAAGAATAATTAAATACAAGAATTATTTGCAATACTACTGATGATGGGTATTTGGCAATATTCGAAACAGCTGTATGGCCAGCTAAAAATTCAATTAATTGAATTAATATAAAAAAGAATTTTTGTTGTTGTAGCTCATTACTTTACGAAAACCTCTTTAAAATATGTTAATAAAATCAGAAAAAGTGATCAGAATGTTGTTAACACCATTTTAAATATAAAATTTCCTTAAAAGTCATTATTTAAAAGTAATGTAGTTGTCATTGTTTAAATTATAGGAACACTACAGCACTTCATAGAATATATCGACTTCGTAAAAGAGGCACTGCACTTAATTACTCAGCTTTTTATAGTATCTGGTGGACTGTCTTCTAACTTACTCTAAAACTTACACTAGTCAAAATATTAATATTTATTTCCAATAAAGCATCGTACCTTAAGTAAAATGAATATGTATCCATACCTTTGAATAGTTTATATAGTTGTAGAACTAGCTATGCTCCATAACTGTATTATATATAAATACTTTATTTTCAAAACTAATCTCAGTTTGATCAAGTTTTGATATATATTTGTTTATTATGTCTTTAATGTGTTTTATCAATGTGTTAGATTTTTGTTTAGATTTTGTTAAGATTAAACAAGATTTTGTTTTAACTTTAATATTCCATTTTATAAACTTCTTTTTTAGTGTGTCAAACTAAGTTCACACGTTTTGTGATATATCTATAGCAATAAGATTAAAATTTCTTACCATTCCATAACAATGTCAAAAAGCACTATTAAAAGCATATATAGCAATAGTTAAATTGTCTATAACAGACAAAAACAATAATGTATAAAGAATGGATCTCAATACCCCATCTTTCTGGCACTGATTGGATTTTGCTATCCCAGACTGCTAACTTGACATAGATGTGTCTATTATGAATGTTAGACTTAAAAATATATCAGTTAGATTTGGTAAGATGCAGTAATCACGTCTGCCTTACTCTATCAAAAACAGATTGCACAATATAGTTTTCTTCTACATTCTCTAAATATATTCATATATTCAGGCATTGTTGAGGAATTCTATGATTGTTTCTGAACCCGAATTCAGATTCAATATAAAATTCTCATTGCTTGAAGTTAGGTTACACAGAATCTTTTCAGTATTGTTCATGGATACGTTATAGAGAATGTAGTCGAAAAATGTTAACATATTTTCTGAATTTGGCTATTAGTAAGTTTTTGAGGCGATATCGATATTATATAAATATTAAGAGAATTATAATAAAATCTGAATTCATGTTATTTAGTTATTTATCCGGAATAAATAAAAAATTAATTTTAAATTAAATCAGTATCAAGCTTTTAATTCAATAATGAGTATTTTCTCATTATGAGTATGAGTAGCGAAAGATGTTATTTAGAACTTATGCAGTATAAAATAAAGCTAAAATTGCAATGAATTGATCAAAGGTTTCATTGCAGTTTATAAATAAATTTATTTGACTTTTCTAATAGTTTCGGTATAAAATCAAACAATATTAATGAAAATAATTCAATATATCTTTTCTTAATTTCTGTACTAATTATTAAGAATAAACTATTCTTCTTAATTAATACTACAATTCTCTTTAACACAGAATACAGTATTTATAATTTTTATTTATAATTTATTGTGTGAAAATTAATAATATAAATTAGTAATCGCTATAAATTCAGATTATTGTATCTGCGTTTAATTTTATAAAAAGATTTTAAAACTTTTTTAATTAAAAACACATTTAACAGAATGTAACACAATCTTATCTGTTGTAATTAGCACATATTAGACAACTGGATTTCTATTTCATTGTAATTTTATTGTAATTAATTACCCTATCAATTATTCCCATAAGTTCGTGTGCTCGTGCTTAATTAATAATATTATATATATGTTTTTATAAATATATTTATATATATGTGTGTATATACATTATTATAAATATTGTAGTACAAAACCATTCTACAATATGTTTTTCTGTTAAAGTTTTTTTGTAAAAGTTTTATTATTAAATAGTATTATTAATACTATCTGATACTCACTACATTATACTATCTGATATAGTGAGTTGTATGAACTTGTAATAGAGTTTATTGTCTATAATTTTTCTAAACTAAATAATACGTTTTTCGTTAGTTATAAAATAGTATTTAATAAATATTAATTTAACGTTATTTATGATTATAAGTAATTTTTTTATTGATCATACAGCTGTTGCCGAACACTGCCAAAAACCTATCATTAATGATGCACAGTAAAATATATGTTGAATTTATATATATACATATATAATGATCTATGATCTGAAATTTTATATTATTGAAATATACTTTACTGATCTTGAAAGAACTTGTGAAAGCCTAATAAACAACAAATCGCGTGTATTGAACTGAGTGTAAACTGGGTGTGATATATATAGATCGCCACTCTAGTTATATTTTTAGCTTTAAAAAAAATTACAACTCAACCCAATATAAATTATTTACATATTCAGCGCATTACTTTTAATTATCCATATCCGCATACATTATGTCTTTACTGAAACCTACAATTACACAAATAATTTTTGCAAATATATTACATTATTTTATTTTTTATTTTTGGAATACATTTAAGTTGACTTTTGATATCATATAAATAATTTTATGTTAAGTGCTCAAATTGCCATTAAATTGGGTAACGATTATACGCTCTGTTTACAATAAATTTATTCATATAATAATCAAAAATTTAAGAACAATTCAAATTGCAAACAAATCTAAAATCATAAAGCGTAATAAAAATCTGTATGATTATTATATTGTTAACTATAGTAAACAATTTTATATATGTTTAGAAAATAATAAAAAGAAAACTTTAATTTAATTTAAAAATATATATATTTTATATTGTCATATAATATCTAAGAGTGCTATAAGTCCAGTAAGTTCAATGCGCTATTTATGGTAAACCCATAATAACTGCCTATATTATTTCAAGATAAAAGATTCAATAATTAAATAATATTTAGTTTTTTAACAAAAATTAAATTGATGTCTTATAATTCTTTTTAGTAGAGTAATTTATGAAGAGAGTCTTTTCTAAAGACAGTAAATGAAACTACAATACTTTTCATATACCATCATATCTTGTATTTATTACGTTTTTATTTTTAAAATTTGTTATTGGATCTATTATTAAGTTTGCTAGCAAATCATTATATAATATTAATAATGTAGTTTTCCATATTCGTATATAACCATTAATATGAAAATTTCTGAAAGATTGAATTTCTCACAGTATCTGTAAGATAGTATACTTATTATAACACACAACCTACTTAAAAATATTAAATATGTATACATTTTTTTTTTTTTGAACTAATAAAAAAAAAATAAAAACCACTGTCTCAGACTTTATATAGTCTATCTATACTTGCTAGACTTTCGCACAAGCTCTCACTTTTTCAGAAACACCCACAAATAATACGTATTCGTATTCGTATACGAACATTCAAGCTGTCCAAGATCTACCTAGTCCAGACGCCGAGTTAACTTAGTGTACTTAGATCACCTCTTAAAAATGAACAATGGAGTTTTTGGCCTTTAACTACTAAAACCAGATTGCTGAGAACCTTATTTTAGTAATGAAGAGTGGATATAAGAAAAGTAGGAAGTAAAGTTAACATTTAATGATCAAATTTCATATAAATCAGAAAATAATAATATGAATAATAATTTAAATAAAAAATGGTGGTAGGGTTTTTGTGCAAACACCGGAGGTATATTACTTATGTATATGCCTAGGAATGATGGAAGCAGCTGTATGCAGTCACAACTTATCAGAAGATTGTCAAAGTTATTTAAGACAGCTGTGATTTCTAATAAGCACTCAGTCAGATTATGGTAGGTTAAAAAATATTCCGACGAACGAAAGTAGGTATTCGTCGAAGCAAGTGGTTCAACTATGGGATTGAGCATGGAAATAGAAGAGTACTTGTAAACAGGCTTGCATTTATATGTAGTTGGTACATCTCGATAAAATGTATCTATATGAAAACTATTGTATTTTAATTATGTTATTAATATATATAATTTACAATTGGAATTATATTCTATATGGTACCAATCTCGAGCGACAAAGACTTCTAACTATATTGTGCATATATATTATTATTAGTTTTTATGTTTATTATAAAGTATAATTCAAATTAATTTTTAAAATCAAAGTAAAAAAAATATATTTTTTAAATATATATGCTTGGAATTATAAAAATGGAACAATGGTTTTTTAGGAATGTAAAAGTTTTTTTTTAAAAAGAAATGAAACTGACTGAGGGTATGATGATATCCTTTTTATACAAATAATTGCATGCCATTAATGTGATTTAATGCATTTGAGATCTAAGCTCTAGTTGTTAAAAATTGAAAGTTAGCTCTAATGAGCTAACACAATCTGGTAATCTTTTTTAAAGCAGCTGATATCATATATGACAACAAATCGATGTTAATTCCAAGTGATCTAATATGTCTGATTTACCTGAGTATACCAGTGGCTTCACAAGTACGCAGAGAAAATAATCAAGACCAATTGATTTACAGTTCTATAAAATTTTATACGATCTAATAGCATTGATTTTGAAATACCTTATCTGTAATTAATGTATAAAGGAAAGAGTTTTTATTATCTAAATAAATCAGTGGCTCAGGCTGTGATAAATTTAGATATAATAAAATATTTTTAAAAATTTTATATAAAGGGAATGCAATTATAATTCTGAAAAGTCATTTCTTATTATTTAAACAAATAATAAATTTTGATGTAAATAGTGCTTTTGTGGTCTAATAATTTTCAAAATGAGCTCGGCACAAGAGTTCTTATATTTGTGGTTCAACCACTCCATTTTTGAAATGATAAAATTATAAATTCAGTTTTTTAAAAAAAATATAATTTTATTATATTTGACGCATTTTTTTATATGATCCTAATTAGCTCCTTTATTAAACACTGCCGTGTCCATACTTCCAGTTGCCATTAAAGTTTTCTTCTCTGAATAAAAGTATAATTTGGTTGTGAAATTCATTTCTGGTGTATACATTGGAAAACTTTCTGGATCAATGGCAAATTTATCCGTTTTATACGTTATATTCTTTACAAAAAGATCAGATTTAAGAAAATAAGTTACAGTAAAAAAATATAATATTAACTTACGCCTTTTATAGGACATCGTGAAGGAAAATTACTGGCTTGAAAAACTCTTTTGAACATTGCATTCATAATTGGATTCTTGGCTTGTTTATTCAAAATATTGCAACCATCCGCTTTAAATTTAAGTAATTCAAAATTTTTCTGATTTCCACGTTCCATAACAATCCGAAAATCCAAAACCAATTGCTTTATATCTCGTGAGAAGCGTATAGCAGGATCAAGGTAGTTGCTCTTTTCCTTAGGTAAGGGAATAATTTCGCACGAGAACTCGGCAACATAATAAGGATCTGTCACACTGCAATTCGCTTTCGTCCAAAGAAGTCCAAAATTACGCTACAAATATGAAAAAATAAATATGAAAGAAATTGCTTTTGTTATTTTGAGAAAAGTAAATATTTTATTAGAAAAACATTCTAAACAGTCAACGAGACTGTTTATCTTCCAATTTAATACTTTGAAATTATTTACTTAGTAAATTGAATTACAAATCGTGAATACTTACTGGTGCTGTTTTTATAATATAAAACATGTTAAAAGCTAAAACTAATTTTAATAATTTATTAAGTGAGAACATAATATTTACAATTGAAGTCGCCAATTGTCTACGTTAAGCACTGAAGTCTTTTACTCAGCCTCTGTTAAATATCGACCGCATATATATAATTTCTGGGAATATTTTGTTATTAGAATTGAATTATTTTTTAATTATTTCAACTTAAATTTCCTATCAGTTGATCATAATGAACTAAAAATATAATATAATTAGTTAATAATTTCTTTAAAATTTATTTTTAGCTAAAATATTTTATATATTTTTAATGACTTTTTCTATAAATATATGTGAAATAGATTAATGGTATTACATTTGTACTTGGAGTTGAACTTAAAACATCAACTGTGAACGATAAGTCACATTAAAAACTAACCAAAAATCACAAATCTGAAAATAATTCAATATCAGTATTACTAAATTCTTATTTCCTGTTAGGATCTGATCACACATAAAAATTTAACTGGTCATGATCCTATCCTATCTTGAGCATCAGTTTGTTCTCTTAACCAATTTAATATTATATGAAATTATAAAGTCTATGACCTCTATTTCATATGTACTGTTTGACCACAAACAAGTCACAAATTATTCTATTATTATTCATATTATATACTATGATTCATTAAGCGAATTCGTCATAAACCAATAGTTTTCCATAAATATTGGTTTATAATTCAAGCTGTTAAAGAAAATTTAAAGAAAGTTCAGCTCCTTTAAAATAAATTGTGCGACAATCTGCTTCATATCCCATATGTCCTCCAAAAGCGAGAACATATAGAATTATTAAGAAAACTTAAGTTCACGTTCTATACATTTAAGTATGATAATGATTATCAACGTTTTTTCAACTTTTTGTTGTTTTCGTCATTACTTTATCTGAGTACGAAAAAAAATTTTAATATGGATTCTCTAAGACATTTTTTATGATTACAGAAGAATAATAATTAATAACTTCTTTCGCTTTCGCCAACTCTTAACACGTTTTGAGGTCTTATCCGCTACAAAACCTTTAATCATATAATCGTTTTAGGTTGAGTCTCTATAATTTATAGCTGTTTATTATCACAGAATATTTTTTGTTGTTTCCGAATTGAAACGAAATTATCTCCTACCGTACCGAAACATAAGACATCCTAATAAGCAATGTTGACTTAAGTATGGAATGAAGCTGGATATATATATATATATTAATAGCGACCGTTTATAGTTTCGAATAAGGTTCAGTTTTGTATTTCGTTTTGCATGTCTTTCAAATCGTAGAAGTGATTGTTAATGTTCTTTAGCGAATGCTTTTGCTGTATTTGAATATCTAAATTGCGATTGAGGTCACAATTTTTAATATAAAATAGAACATTACCTACTAGTCTATAGCCTTCATTTTGAAAGCACTGAATTATCCGAATATTGTTCTCACACTTGCAGGCCTTATGTCCGTCCAGATGGGCTTTAGTATTTGCTTATACAACAGGACTTAAAATGATATGACTTCCAATACAGCTTCTAGATCTGTCAAGCTATCTAGTTTGGTTTGCTTATAGAATGTTTATACCATTGATGTATACAGACATAAAAGCAGTGTCGATTTTAGACTGCAAGAACCATGGAAAAGATTACTCAGCGCCTTCTGTCTACTATCAAGCCGAATATGAAAAAACATTACATCAGCACCGTTTGATATTGTACAATGTTCAATATAATCTAATGCATATGGGAGCTTACTGTTTATGTACCCTAAAAAAAGTATTAAATAAGTTTTATAGTTATGATGCAATTAGAAGTAAAAAGACTTAATCCAGAAGTATTTTTTAACTTGCATCGTCATTTCTCTCGCTATAGGCTATTATTCTCACCGCATCCACCCTTAACGCCTTTAATGCTTATTAGCTGTATTTCTTGATGTACAGATTCACATTTTCAATAAATCCATTATGAAATTGAAATTCAAGTCCTTTCTATTAAAGTTTACCATATAAATTCACAAATTTTATGTACTTTGATTATAATCTTTCTCAATATACTTTGTCAAAGTTTGTTATCCATTTAATTACTTAATGTGCTGATAGTATTCTATTCATATATAATTACTCTAAATTTCAAATAAACAAAGAAGAATGTCATCTGTAGAACTTGGCTTTAGCAAACATACGATGTACATGGTATATGAGGTTTGAATTACATCTGAGCATATCTTCCAAATCAAAATTGAAATAAATCTCGTTGGTACTACATTTCCATTATCGTTTAACTACAATTTCATTAACTTAGCCAAAAACGAGCAGTATATTTCCCTTGACAACCTAAAGCTTTTTAGAAGTCATTTGACCCAGTGCTGTAGTATTTTGTCGTATTTCGTTTATCTTAAGCTGATTTGGAAATTAACACACATATTTGCATTTTCTTCTTCGGCTTCCGGGGCTGTATGTTCCTAACACCGTAAAGCTTACCTGCACATTTGTCGGTCGTTTTCAGTTGCAATGTGCAAGAGTGTTCATGTTTGGCATTGTTGTTGTAGTTATAGTTGTAATTTTTGTTGTTTTTGTTTAGTTATCATCATTGCACCTTTCATTAAGCTTCATAATATGCAAATTCCAAACTGCATTGCCTCATAGCTTTGCTGTTATGCCAGGTTGAAAAATCAGTAAAATTTTAGAAGTGGAAATGCTGTAAAGAGTCGTACATGCACGGAACCAACAACTACGACAAGAGCAACCGTAATTTGTTTATTAGCGAAAGTACACCTTAACAGAGATGCAAAAACCATTTGAAATTTTTCAATAACAACATTTCCTTGAAAGCCCTTTGCCAGCAAATTTGCGTTAAGTGTTAAGTGAAACTCTGCATTGTGGCAAAATATTGGAATTGTAATTAAAAGATTCCGTTAAGAGCAGGCAACTTTGCAGCACATAATCATTCTTATATCGATTGAAATATTTCGAGGCCACCAAATTAGATACATTGGGACCTGGAGAAGTTCTAAAAATACTTCAAGCAATTCGCGTTCAATTTCATTACTGAAAATTTACGTCATCCAATAGAAGCAATATTAGCGCTTTCTTTAAGGATCTCAAAAATGTACGCTTCAACAGTTTTCAATTTAAATAATTAAGTGCCAATTCCAAGTTTAAGTTTCGGCTTGTTTTCATATTATTTCAAATGTTATTTGTGAAGTTTGAAAACGGAAATCGTCAAAGTATCGAACGTGTGAAAATAACAAAGAAATAATGCATAAGAAATCAAACAATCAACAAGCAATTCCTTTATTTTTTCAATCTTCTTGCTGATTTATGATGACTTCTACTGATAAATTCGATGTTCTACTCCTTTGATTTGGGCACAAAATACTGAATAAAGAATGAGACAAGGGTTTGAATTGAGCGAGGTTGAAGACAGAAAAAATAATTTAATTGCGGCAAAATACAATGAAAAAGCACAAAAAAATGAAATTTAATCGAGAGCCAAGTTGAACACACTTGACAGGTGAACAAAATCGAAGGCAAGACTGAGGCACACGTTTTCCATTGATTCCAGTATAAAATTTTAACTTTCAAGTTGATTTTTTTTTATAAATTTGAACATTTAAGAGAGTATTTGAGAACTTTAATTTTAAGTAAAATTTCGAACCAAATACTTTTCTTTGAATCGATAGCATCGCAAATACCTCATTCGATACAGTAAACAAAATTTTAATGAGTCGATGTCTTCATCAAAAAAGCTATTAAGCATGTGGCTCTATAGTAAAAAGCAAAAAAAAAAGAAAAATAGAATTGTTTTACAAGATAATCCTGTTAAATCGTGTTATCGTGTTACTATAGTTTAAAAAATACTCCCTCTATACACTGACATAACCTGTAGAAAAACAGCAAAAGTCACGTTTACACCAAATGAAGAAAAAGTACATTCGGTTTATACCAGCGCTATTATATAAACATTTGCAGAACCATTATAGGTGTGATAATGGGTCATCGTCTAATGCCCACTCTTACAAGTTTGGAAATTTGTACGGCTAAAAGCAAATGAAACTTTAGAACATATAAGCGATGTTCTGTTCTGCGTTATCAAGAAGATGTTTGACATATTTGATGGACTTCAATTTGAGAAGTTGGTAAGTATGTCAGGAATGCAGTTTCAAACACTCATAAAATTGTACAAAAACGCATTGACATATTATGTGGTGCATACTTCAAACAGACATACTGATCAAGCACGCCATTTGGTATTGCTAGAGACAAACAACTGTGTGTGTAGCAAGTGCCCAGCCAGATCAAACTAAACTAACCTCTACATTAATATAAATATTTCTTTTAAAGAATAATAAATATCTCTACAATGTCTCTCTCTTTACAAATAAAACAAAAACTTCGTTTGTATATTACAACTATACAAGACTACATACACTATCGTCTTAATATATGTACTTACAATGTCAGTACGAAACATATAGTACATGTTGATAGTATATATTGATAATATATATATAATTTATATTATTTTTCATTATATAGCTCACTGATTTCGGTAAATTTGAAAAGGGAATCTCTACACTTTACGAAATGATCCAAACACAATGTATATGTCAACTGAACTCATTTAACAATAATTTGCTAAACATACAAAAAAGTGCAAACAAACAATTTTTTTCGTTTGTGTCATTCACTTTAATTTTGTATCTATACAAAATAGTGTTTGAATGTTGCAAACATAAGCGAAACATTTCCAAAATATAGCACAACATAAGTCCAAAGTCCGAATCCAAATTGTGAAGAGAACACAAATTGATTTCAATTAGTTGGAAATTTAATACGAATTTCTCGTGTCTGGCAAAATTTACGAGCTCAAAAATATTCAACTTAATTTTAATTCCAAATAATAGTTATTTTCACTAAAGTTTGAAATAATAGCAGGTATGCTTGCTGAGCTCATATATAAATGTTTATTTTCATAATTGAACAACAGTAAATTTAGTACTATTTTAAATA